AACCACCTACTAGAACTAATTGTGAATTGGTACACAATAGAAGACAAATATATAAAAATCAATTGTATTTCTATACATAAATAATGTCAGAACAAATAGCTATAACAGCAAAAAGTATTTGACTTTAGGGAGAACTAGTGGACTAAAGATGGGTAGGGCAGAGAAGCCCCCATTTTGTTGTTTTAGTACTCGCTGATTTAAAAAGTTACATTATCTAGATACTAAGTTTTTAAGCTATGTTTCTAGCAGAAGCCTTTTTTTAAGTAAAATTTTATACAGAACCCCAAAATATAGCAAAAAAGTGGAGTTGAATTACAAGAGGAGGGGCCTGGAACTCAATCTCTCTCCTTCCTACTGAGTTAACTTGGAAGAAGCCTAGTACTCTCTATAACATTTTAAAAAATAGTTGAAGCTGATCTAGAAAACAGAACTATGCCTAACGTGGAAATATAAATGTTCTTTTTAAAAAACATTGTTCCAGCCAGATGCAGTGGCTCACACACCTATAATCCTAGCACTCTGGGGAGGCCAAGCAGGGAGGATCACTTGAGCTCAGGAGTTGGAGACCAGCCTGAGCAAGAGTGAAACCCCATCTCTACTAAAAAATAGAAAAATTAGCCAGGCGTCCTGGTGCACACCTGTAGTCCCAGCTACTAGGGAAGCTGAGGAAGGAGGATTGCTTGAGCCCAAGGGCTTGAGGTTGCTGTGAGCTACAATGACACCACTGAACTCTACATGGGGTGACCGGGCAAGACTCTGAAAGTACGTGAGTATGCAAGTAAGTAAATAAACAAATAAATAAAAATTTTAAAAAGGTAAGGAAAGGAAAAGAAAATAGTGTTGTATAAAAGTCATGACAACCATCTAGCTCAACAAGTGCCTGCCTACTATGTGGATAGCCATGGCACAAGAAAGGGAAGAGTAAGACCCAGCTCCTATTTGCTTTTAAAAGGATGTGTAAAAACGGGATACACTTGTACTCGCCATCAAATTGGTACTAACTGATCAACACTAGGTTGGTCACATGGCAGAAATACTCTCTAGGGATTAGGGGGATGGGGGGCAAATCTACAACTAAAGGACACGGGGAGCACTAAAGGGAGGGAAGGGCATGCCTTTAACCCGCACTTGGGTGAGGCAAAGACATAAAGTGTAACTATAATGTTGGTACCCTCACAATACCCTGGAATAATAATAATAAAAAAAAAAAGGATGTATATGTAATAAATAACTTGGTCAAAACCAGAGGATTGAGATGATTTCTCTTACACTCATTACAATATTTATAATAAAAGAGGAAGGGGGGAAATGTACACACAGATATAGAGCTGGGGTCATATGTTTTGGAATTCATAATATTTTGGATTCTACAGGGGAAATACCAGGGCATGTACATAATTACACAGTGGTCTCAGAATGGTCTGGGTAAAAACCCAGTACTTGTCTAGAAACATTAACAATTCTATAGTGAATTCTGTAGTTCATAGTCTGTGAATGGATATTAAGTATAATAAATAAAGACAACAATAGCTTCACAATTCTTCAAGTCAGGTTTTATTGTCAATGCATTTTCATGAAAAAATATGTTTCATGTTTGGAGATTTTGGAATGATGGACCTATATCACCATCTAAGCCTGAGGCTCAAAGTACACGTAAATCTATCAAAGGGAAATAAGAAAAAGTAAAACCTATTATATTTCTTTTAGGCTGCTACTTAAAATTTGTAGTGGTCCCTGAATACACAGTAATTTGCAGCCATGCACTATTTCCCTACCACCACTTACATAATTTTAGGTAAATTTCTATTCCTGAAGAGAAAATAAATAAAATACAAATTAAGACAGTTTTAGTTTTCTTCAGTAACTTATTTCATTATTTAACACCTGTTGAC